TACAAGCGGAAAGAAAGATAGAAAGATAGTATTGACAATGAAGAGAAGTAGTTTTGAAACTTTAAAATGTTCAAAAGATTTTGCTTGAATTTTCCTCTATTGTAGACTCTTTCTTTATATTTAGCGTTATCCTTCTTTCTCTTTCTCCTCTCTACTTTTTGTCCTCATCCCCTCTGTTCTTCTTGCTACCTTTTCGATACAACTTCTAATGAAAGAAATATTTTTATTCAAGTGAGAAATGTTTGCAGGAACAGAGAGATAAATCCTCAGCTAAACGCCAGCTAATCACAATAGCTCATCAGACAAATCTAATATTAGAAGAATTGAAGCACACCACGCCAGCTACCGTGATTAAAGAAGTAAATCTTTCCTGCAGTAATTCAGAGGGCTGACTAAGTCATAGTTACAGACTGAAATTCCAACGTCTTGTTTGACATTCCTATTGTGTATCGGGGATAGGTTGGCCCACATCAAAAGATTTTTAAAGAAAGCAGCCGTATGTTTAGCCTGATAACATATATATATTGTAGTGCTATAATAACAGTATTGTTGTGACATAGTTGTGAAACTGTATAGCCGTTTTACGTTTCTGTGAATGTATGTGCCGTTAGGATACAGGCCGTGTGTACTGTGGGCCTTGTTGTGCTTGTATGTACCGTAAGGATACAGGCCGTGTGCACTGCGGGTCTTTAGGATACAGGCCGTGTGACTTTTCTGTGCATATCACGATGTGCTGTTAGGATACAGGCCGTGTGTATTGCGGGTCTAGTCAGTGCTTGTATATGTGCCGTTAGGATACAGGCCGTGTGTACTGTGGGTCTAGTCAGTGCTTGTATGTGCCGTTAGGATATGGATACAGGCCGTGTGTACTGCGGGTCTACTACGGTCAGTGCTTGTATGTGCCGTTAGAATACAGGCCGTGTGTACTGTGGGTCTAGTCAGTGCTTGTATGTGCCGTTAGGATACAGGCCGTGTGTACTTCGGGTCTAGTCAGTGCTTGTATGTGCCGTTAGGATACAGGCGTGACGCCGGATGTAATGAGACGTGGCGCGAACACCTGCTACACTATGTCGGCTGACACACATCAGCGGGCTCGTATAACCATTTCAACACGTAGTCATAGTCTCAAAGCTCGCACGTCGTCTTCAAAACGATATCATATCACGGCTAGACGTGCTTCTGTAACCTGCTATATTTGGACACAGGTATCGTCCATAAATATGTTTTTCCTGAACAAGGTGATTCATGAAAACTCGGTACTTAATTTATGTTATCACATGATTTGTTAATGAACGCTCTTCAGCTATCTTTACGTGGTATTTTTCTTTGAAGTTGAGGTTAATGTTTTTGAGACGACCCTGCTAATCCACATACACCGGAAGATGGAATCACATTGCTGTAACGGGAACTACGCTTAAAACTGTGGTCCTAAAATGGAAGAAACAGTCAAACATGTTCATAATTGACACGATTTGAGCATTCTGAAAATGAGCATTCTAGAAAATGAAATTTGTAAGGTGCAAACTACCAAGATACAATGGAACGCAAGCTTAGTAGTGCATGCACGTAAAAAGAAACCATGGAGGTGTTGTAAAGTCCCAAATCCGTCCACTATCCCTACGACTATAATGCTAAACGACAGTTGCCTAGTGGTGACATGAAACCGAAGAATCATCACACATTGTATGTGATATCCTAACAGCCCAGCCTCAGTGTTCCCTCCGCTACTCAACTTGTAAATTGCGACATGGAACCTAAATCACCACAGAGGCAGCCATTTCCCCAAAACGAGCACCAACTGTTCCCTTTGTGTAACAGAAAATAGCTGCACCATTAAATCATAGCCGTAGACACTCAAACGGTCGCTGGGGGATAATTTCAAGAGATACGCCCTTCTCAACTTTGTAGTCTTTTCGTTCCCCCCATATACAAGCCATTCCCACCAAGCATACAGGTACCAATGTGCCAGATGTGGACCCTTCACCCAATTTCTTCTCACATTACAAAACATTTGGTCCAGGCTCTGGTTTTCATTGTGACTTTACGATTACAAATATGTTTACTCTTCTGAGTGTGTTGGGCCATTTGATGCTTTCGTCTCGGTCTTTTGTTTCACGGTGATAGTACTAGATTGTGACCGATCTTATATTATGAGCACGTTAGACATCTACTTTTGGGATATTTTGGGAATAAGCGGATCATTCTAATTAATAGATTTTAGTGCCGCGTAGTAAACCTATATAGGGGATTTCTATGAAGGACAAGTATGTTGTGGATGGCACCACGTAAAATGTCGGGTGTAAATGATCAAAGCAATCTGTAAACCATTTCATCACCTACAAATCTCGTGTTCATTATCCAGATACAACTTCTAGTGACATGTACATACCGTGATTACGCCGATATTTGGTATTTGCGTGTGTGGTAGAGATTTAGTTAACATTGGACCCGCGGAAGGCCTTGATACGAGACCGAATAACTGAATATATGTCCCTGTCCTTGGTGCTGAACTGAAGACAGAATTACTGTTATAAAACATTAGTGGGATCGATGCCTTTCGGGTTTCTCCCATAACACGTAGTGACTAACTACATTACTGAACTCTGTGTGCTGAGGGAATTTTTGCTAATTTTGTTCCAAAAGTTCACAGTACACGTTATACCTAATGGCATGAAAAAACACTGAGAAACTAACAGACCAGAACAGTAAAATGTCTTAACAGCTTATTTGGTGACCCGCGCAAAATCAATATGTTGGTTTTTAGCCGTCCAAAGAGTCAATACCATCTGTAGACTGGACAACGTGGTGTCAAGCGAGGTCGTTTTAGGATGGTCACCTTTGACTTCAGGCCGATGAATTTGTCAACAGCAGGGGTTGGTTGTCTTTGACCCTAGGTCAGATAGGACGGCAGTAGCGGCCGGTGGCAACTGCAATTGTGATGATATATGAAGGAAGGAGGTTGTTGTTTCAAAACAAAAACACGATCGAGATTTGTGCGTTTTATAAGATCTTCAGATAAGAGATTCAGTTAGAGAGAGAGGGAAGGGGGAGAGAAAGAGGGAGAGAGAGGGAGAGTGTGTGTGTGTGTGTGTGTGTGTGTGTGTGTGTGTGTGTGTGTGTGTGTGTGTGTGTGTGTG